TAAATGGCAGCCTTAATTGCTACTTAGTGGTAGATGGAACTTAACATCCTTAAGTTAACGGCAGATTTAACGGCAGTACATGGAAAAAGATGGAAAATACGAATTTCTGAAAATGTGGAAGAACAATTTCTATGTGGAATAACAATTTCTGTTACTGCCGTTTCATAGCCAGTTTCATAGCCACTTATAATATAGAAAGATATATATATATTTCAAGATGCTCTCTATTATGAGCAAAATGCTTATTAAAAATATTGAATCTTGAAGATGCTCTAACAGTATTAAGATGTTATTTCTATCAAATTTAGTATCATGCTTAGTTCAATTCATTGTGAAGTATATCAAATTACAACTTGATATTTTACAGTTTGTCATGTATTAGTATTGTGTCACCTTCCGAATCGCGCGAAAGTTAAAGAGTAATAATATTTGGCATCGCTAATATTATAACACTCGTTTAGATGATACTAAGTAGTATTAAAAGAGTTACATAATTTGATCTTTAATTGAGAATATCAATGATTTTAAATAACATTATTTTAAGTTAGAACTTAGAACTTTTAAATNAAGTTAGAACTTAGAACTTTTAAATACACATACATAGGACATTTACCATTTTTACTAAATAAGTGTGGACAAACATGAATTCAAATATTCATAAACACTAATATCATTTTAAATATAGTTTTAAACAATCATTATCTTGACTTTATTGAGATTTTGAATTGCACAGTATTGAAAATACATACCTTTCCAACTATTGTTTTCTTAATATAAATTTTCATAGATTTCTCGAGCAAGGTGAGTTTGAATAAGTCAAAGACGTCATGGACATACGTCACATACCACTTATAGTCTTGGAATATATTTTATTATTATTATTTTACTAATTATTCATGGATTCCTTCAATGCGCCCATGTTTGATCCACATTATTTTTTGAGGAAATTACACCCACACCTGAAAAATAGATTTCCAATTTCACAAATCCAATAACAAATTCAACATTTCAAAANTTATTGTTATAGGAAATTACACCTACACCTGGAATTAGATTTCCAATTTCACAAATAAGGTCACAAGTTTAACATTTCAAAAATCAGGTTTTAATTAATAATTTAAAAATATTTTTTATTTTTATATCTATATACAATAAAAAAAATTGAACCCAACCAAACCCTAATCATTCCAACCAATTCCTCCCCCACCCACACTCTCTCTCTCTCACCAGCCCCCGTCAACCCTTCTTCTCTACTCCCTCTCTCGCCGCCACAGCCACCGCCCCGCCGACGTGTGGACTCCTTCCACTCAACTCCCTTTCTCGTTTCACACGCTCTCGTCTTCTTCCACTCCTCAGCCGCCTCTCCGTCTTCTCCCCTCTCTGTCTCTTCTCTCTATCTCCACCCCTGCCGCCGCTGCTTACTCCGGCGTCTGTAACTTCTTGCGGTTGGTGTTAGGAGGTGAGGATTGTCGACGAGCAGCCTTCCTTGCGGTTGGGGTGTGGAGGTGCAAACTGTCAACTGGTCTCAGATCATTTTTTTTTTTTTGTGGTGCGATGGGGTGGCGATGGAGTGTTGGGTACGGTTGCGATCTAATCCGATGGTTGGGTGAGTGCCAATGGTGTGGATCCAGTGGTCTCTGTCGTTGCAGATCCAATGTTGGCTGTGGTTCTGGTGTTTTGGCAGTGGTTGGGTGTGTGTTTGTGCGGCGGTGGTGATTGTGTGGTTTGGGTGTGTTTCTTGTTGCGTGCGATGGTGCGTTTCTGTGCAATGGTTGTGCTGTTTTTGGTGCGACCGTTGCGGTGTTGCTGTGTGATGGTTGGATGTAAAATTTTGGTGTTATTGTCAGTGATTGGTTTATTTTATTTTGCAATTATCCTGCTTCATTCATA